ACCCTCTTTCTCTACTCTTTGTATGCAGTGACCCCATTTAAGTAATGGGGAGTTATGGCTACATCATTAAGGGCAATATCTCCATAAATTATTTGAAATTCTGCTTGGGAGATTTATTTATTCTCTTACCTATGATTTATTTATACCAGAATGGATTTATGGTTATTACTATTTTGGAGTATATTATTGACATTGAGAACATCAAGTGGCAACTGTATTACTGATTTGGCGTGCCCCCATCTTGGTGTATGTGCATGTGCATGAATGTGCTTACCAGCTTTTGCTTCCTGGCATAAGAAAATGCTCAAGGTCAGTTTTTCCAATTTCTGCCCCAACCTCAAATCAGCCATGGTCTTTTAATGTCAGCGAGTAACTCCTATGGAAGAGTGCTTCCCAATTTGATTAAGCAAAAATATTCCAGATCCCCTAGAGAATTCCTTTCATTAGCAGACTTAAATATGAAAAATGACTCAATTATTATTTTGCTGTTCACTGATGAACAACGTGGGAGCTCTCATTTCTTCCTTGCTATTCAAATAGCTACATCTTAGGCAGCAAAGTCAAAAATACTGACTCGTTTGACCTTTGTAAAGTTGACTAGCATCTCCCTGTCTGACCAGCATCCACAGTGGATGTGGTCCGTAGGATAGGTGGCTGCACCCTTCTCAGCCAGCGCTGTGCATATTCCCTTCACATATGGGTCACATGTGAGTGTGTTCCTCCACAGAGTGACTCTGGTTTATTAAACTTTAGTAAATTACAGTGTGGGGCATTGTCTTCACCATCCAGCACATCTTTTGTTCTAATTGATCAAATAGCGCAGCGAAAGATGATCTACAGAAGAGAGAGAAGAGTGTATGTCAGAGAACAATTAATATACTATAGACTTTGTATGAAGGAGAACCTCACACTAAGGCACTAACATGGCACCACTGGGCATGTGCAAAGCCTTGGCAAGCTTCCTGTTCCTTGCATCTGTTGACCTAGCGGGTATTGAGGTTAATAAAAGAATATTACTACTTAAGTTGCTTCAATTAATTATTTTTTTAGATTTTTTATTTAAATTAGAAACAATCTTTTTTTAGATATCAATCCCAGTTCCTTCTCCCTTCCCTCCTCCCATGCCCCCCCATCCCCCTTCTGCTTCCTAGGGAGGGTGAAGCCTTCCATGGAAATCATCAATGTCTATTACATCATTTGGGGGCAAGGCCTAGGCCCTCCCCTGTGTGTCTAGGCTGAGGGAGTATCCCAAATTAATTATTTTCTTATACAAACTACTATACCTTGTATATGTTGGATTCTATAGACTTTATTCATGGCTTAAGGGAACCCCCCCTCTCTCTGTCTGTCTGTGTGTGTCTGTTTGTCTATTTCTCCCTCTCTCCCTCTCATACACAATCAATGATCTGGTTTCCATTGAAAACTTATACTGTCCATATGACAGCAAATGGCTGAAATGGAAGTGAAGCCTTCTAGGTCAAGGGGCACACTCCTGGCTTCGTTGTAACCCTGTCATTGACAATTGAGTCATTTCCCACTTATGACCTATTTTTCCAACTCCTTTTGCTTCATGTTCCTGTTCCTCTGTGGATATGCACTACTCTGCAGCTAAGCAATCGAAGAAAGTAGAGGAGCACTGTGTGGAGCTTGCAGGGGGTAGTAGTACTTCATTGCGGAAGTGAAGTTTGTTTGATCAATAAATACAAAAACACCTGATGAAGTGGTGGCCTCATGCTGCCTTCCAGGCACCTGGGGATGTTTAAGCTTAAGATCTCAGGACAAAATTAGTGATTTTTTTGGGGGGGAGGCATTCGAGACAGGATTTCTCTGTGACTTTGCAGGCTGTCCTGGAACTAGGTCTTGTAGACCAGGCTGGTCTCCAACTCACAGTGAACTGCCTGCCTCTGCCTCCTTAGTGCCAGGATTAAAGGTGTGTGCCACCAGTTCCTGGTACTAGATTAGTGATTTTAAAAACTTTTTTAAAAGGAATTTGTCCTCTCAAGATACATTTCATGGAAGCAAGGTGTGGGGAAGATGTATGAAGTCTCAGGTGGGCTCACATTCTCCCTGAGGAGCTGAAGGACAGCCAGATTGCCATATCAAAGGAGGCCAGAAACAGCTGCCACAGTACAACCCACTACTTCTCTTCTGTGTATGTGTCTGTCCAAGAGCGAGAAAAGCATGGTTTTAGAAAGTTCCATACAAGAGTATTTACAGTTATTTTATATACAGTGGTCTGTGGTGACGTCTTGCCTGTAAAATAAAGCCTTTCTGAGGGTCAGAGGGAAATGCTGAGAGATCACAGAGAAAGGAGTAAGTCAGGCCACACTTGCCTCCTTTGCATCTCAGCAGACAAGAGAGCGATTTCCTGTTTCTCCTTTCTTATGTCCTGTTTCTGCCCAGCTACCTCACTTCCTGCCTGTCTGTACAGACCTCCAGACCTCTATGGTTAGTGTGTGCAAGCTCCATTCTCTGCCCTCAGACAGCCTTTATTTGTGCAAGCCAGATATCACCACAGCGGTCCCGGGATTCTACAAAAGCACTTCAAAGGAAATGACAGAGCTTGTGAGACACAGCAATGCATTTACATCCTGCAGGTGAGAACACCAAACAGCAAGTCTCATCAGAGGAGGGAGCGAGACTTCCATTCCTGTGAAATACCAGACTGGGAAAAAAATCTAATTATAGTGATAAAAATCCAAATGGCAGGCATTTGCCTCTGGAGACTGAAGGTGGGAAGCCTGTGAAAGGGGCCTGTAGGAATAGTCCATACTGGAATTTTAGAGACAGTAGAAAAACAACAAACAAACAAACAACACTTGCCACATGCAGACCAAGGAGAGATGTGAGATCTAAATAAATATTAAAACATCAAGAAAGCTTAAAAAGATAGGACCACTAAAAAAATTTAATAGAATGGGTAAGATTGAAGACAGGGAGGTAGTTGAGGCAGAGGGCTTCTAGAGGGCGATCTGGATAGGGAGGGGGAAATGCCCCATGCTGGGGAAAGGGGGGCACAGGACAGGGATTTGTGTTGAACTGTGACTATGGAGACTGCTCAGAGAGGAAAGAGCTTGCTCTGGAAGCCTGATGCCCAGACTACACCGTGTAAAACAGATACAGTCATCTATGTATGCATGATCCTAGCATTCTCCTCTGAAGGGATGGGGGAAAGAGGCAGGAGAGTCATCGGAAGCTCATGGGATGGCCAGCCTGGCCTCTGCATCTGGGATTGTCCCATGACCTTTCCGACACTTACACTCAGGCAAGACACACACACACACACACACACACACACACACACACACACAGAGGGAGAGAGAGACAGAGACAGAGACAGAGAGACAGATTGAATAGACTGTCTTAGGAACTTCAGTTGCTGGACAGAGTGAGAAGCTTCTTGGTTTTATAATGTAAGTTTTGCCCAAATGAATTTTCACATTGGTTATTTAAATTTCCTAATCTGCAGATTAAAATTTCTCCCACAAACACATTTCCTGGCTGTGGGAGGGCAGAAGAGGCCAACAGACAATCAATTGTCATTTTCCTGCTGGCTTCATTGAAAACTCCAAAGGGCTAAAGAGAATGAATGCTCACAAAATTGAAATCCTTTTCTTATTAAACTACCCTGTGTGGAAAACACTCGACGGGCAAATTATCTTTTAATAAGGCAATTTCCTGCTTTCTCAACCCAAAAGGGCCCTGAACAATTTGAAATTCAAATATTGTGGCTTCCTTCTACTGAAGCCAAGCAACGCTCGCAAGCCCTTCTGAAATGTGGCTCCCACTGGGAATTTCGAGTTAACTCATGGGAGGAACAGTCCTTCTCACAGACAAGCTTCTGTGGAACCCGGTGCAAAGGGCATATGAGGCACACAATGGGGTCTTATCTGAGCGAAGTCTGAGGCAGACTTAACCCCAACACACGTGTTCATGTGTCCTACTGCTTACAAAGACAGTGTCTGTCTGTCTTACACACACACACACACACACACACACACACACACACACACACACACACACACACACACACACGGCACTTGGGCTGGTTCGTTCTTTGCTGGAGGCTGTCTTAAGCCTTGCAGAATGCCGGACAACATCTCTGTCTTCTTAGCACTGGATACCAGCAGTCCCTCTCAGCTAAGGTGACCAACATTGACTCTGGAGATCAATGGAGTAGCCTTTGGGTAGTAAATGACGTCACTGAGCAGACACACTGTCCTTCCCTTGGAGCCTCTTCCTGCTGTCCATCTGTTCACTCGTTCCGTCTCCTTCATTCCATTCCTTCGCCCACTCAGACTGCAAACCTACCCAGAACCCCACTGTGTGCCTGATGGACAGGTTCTCAAATGCCCCCCCACCCCCACCTGTGTGTGTGGCACACCTGTCTAGGTATGGATGCTGGCAGTGTGCTACTCACTCTGAAATACCTTGCTTCTTGATGATATTAGAGAGATTGAAGGTTTTCTTTGTGAGAACATGCCATGCACTCAATAGTCCACCGGAGATTCTCAGGGTTTATTAAAGCCAGCTTCATACTGGATGGAGTTCTAAGAGGTTTGTACAAATCCTATCCCTTAATCCTTACCATGACTCTTTGAGATACGAATCTTTATTACTGCCTGTCTTGAGAGGGGAACTAAGATCTAGAGAGTTTATATAGCTTCCCAAGGCCCCTCAGTTTTAAAGACACAGAGCCATTTTAGGACCCTCTTACTGGTCACCACCCACCTACCCATCCACCCAGGGGTCTTCAGCCTTTTGACTTTTCAACATGACATTGTCATTTCCAAATACATTGGGACCTGCTCTGGTTAGCTTAAACTGTCAGCTCGATCCAAACTAGATTCACCTGACAACAAAGTCTCACGTGAGGGATTATGCTGTTATCAGGTTGGGCTGTGGACACACCTGTGGGGAATCATCTTGAGATGAACAGAGTCTCTATGGTTGTGGGTGGGTCCTTTTCATGGGCTGGTCCTGGGACTGAAGAGTGAAGAAAACTAGCTGAGCAGAAGCAGCAGCTAGCCGGTGATGTGCACATTAGGTTTTCTCTGTTCTTGACTGTGGACATGATATGAACAGTAGTCTCTGGCACCTGCCTCTGTGACTTCCCTGCAATGATGGATTGTAACTTGGAGTTGCAAGTCAAATGAACCCTTTCATCCTCCAAGATGCTTTTGGTAAGGCTATTTTAATCAAGGTTACAGAAATGAAGCCAGGACAGGCACATTTGTAGCTATCCTGGGAATCCTGACTGTGGTGATATATTGTTTATGATTTATTAAAGCCACTGGAGATCAAAATAGCAAAGTAGCCATACTAGTTATCTATAGAAGCTAGGCACACACCTTTAATTCCAAGACTCAGGATTAAGAGGTAGATAGATCCCTGCTGGATCAAGGCCACACTGACTACACAAAATTGATCCAGTCCTAAAAGATACAGATCACACAAAGGTGATCTCAGCACCTGGGATCACATGCCTTTAATCCCAGCACTAGGGAGGTGGAGACCGGAAGATATGGTTGGGCAGAGAAAGAGATATAAGGAGGAGGAGACAGAAATTAAGAGTCTTTTGCCTCTGAGGATTTGTGGAGACAGGACTGCCATTTCAGATGTGTAGAGGTAAGATCTACTGACTTGGCTGCTTTGCTTCTCTGATCTTCAGCTTGCAGCTTGAGCACCAATATCTGTCTCTGGCTCTTTTATTTATCGTGCTACACCTGACCCTTCCTAATTATATCATGCCGTAAGCAAATATTCACAGAATACCTCCTATGTGTTGTCAAGCCAGTCTCTCAAGCTTTGCTATGTGAGGGATGGTGAAGACACCGGGATAGCAGATGGGGTAGGACGGGCCCACAGCTATGGATGGATGCCACACTTTGCCCAGGAATGTGGTGCTGCATCTCTGAATAACTCTGGGTACAGACAAGCCATGCTGAGTCTCAGGTGGCAAGGCAGAGAGTCTGAACTAACTCTGGGTTTCCTGTGCCAGTTGTCTGTGCAGAGGGCATTTTCTATGAGCTAGCAGATCCTCCCATACTGACTTGGCTAAACTGTTGTGGGCAGATGAGATGTTTGCAATCATGTCTCTCAACCTTCCCTTTGCAGATCAGCTAGGGGAGACCCAGGAGACCCAGAGAATGGTGGCTTTACTAAGACTTATGGGACAGGATGCTATTAAAAGCCACCAAGAGAGTCACAAGCTAGGAGTAATACCACATTTTCTGGCACATGGTTTGCATCCCATAAGCCACTCACTTTTCCTCCATGGTTTTCACTGGCCACACAGAAGTCAGCTGGGTACATGGAAGATATTTGGGGCAGAGGGAAGTGACTAAGGATCCTGGAGAGATAATTTATCTCTGTAGTTTACTACATGAACACTATGATGCAACTCACAGAGTCTTCCAGAAGCATCAGCTCAGAACTCAGGGGATCATAGACAAAATACTTTGAGCACAGGGCAGCGTTCCTATGCAGGGGGGCAGGTGGCAGAGGCTAGAATGTCGACAACCAGGCACTGCTCCCTATGTGTTAAAGGTTGCTGCTTACACCATGAACCAGGCCTTTGTGTCAGAGGAAGAAAGCAACTCAAACATGTTTGCTAGTTAACTGTGCGGTTGTGTTGGCTGTTGTCAATAGAAATCCCTATTAGTGAACGTGAGTGTTATCAAACTGCTAGCAATAGAACCTGTGCTGAGCTCTGTGACTTCCGGGAGTGGGTAAAGCCCTTGCTGTGTTTTCTAAGCCTGCCACCCCAACGAGGAACCTGTAAGTGCCCCAAACAAGGTCTGGTAAATTAGAAAATGTTTACAACACTGTTAGACATGTAAATCTTGCTGTAACTGAAATCAACCTCTAACTTCTGGTTCCCATGTTTGAATCTACTGATTCCCGCTTAGGTGTTGTGACACATGTCTAGCCTCTGTGAGCACCAGGCACACATGTAATACATACAAACACACAGGCAAAACACCTATACACATAAAATTAAAAAATAAAAAAATACCAAAGCATGCATTGCTGTTCAAAATGTTCTCAGGGCAAAATAACTATATGGGACTCTTTCTGTGCCAAGAAAGTAGTCTGAGGAGCCAGAAGGATCATGGTTGCTTTGATAACTCTCTGTTAGACTTTTGGGAAAGCCTCTCTGGTGATTGTCATCCAGTTCACCAGTCTGAAGTCTGGAGGACAAGGCAGCATCTGTGACCAGGAGCTTCCAGGCTGGTCTCTCACTGGCTGTTTTGGTACCTTGCCTTGGAACTGAGCTGGGCTGTGGCTGTGGCTCAGGGGCTAAGCACTTCCTTGGTTTGTGGGAGGTCACTGGTCCCATCCTCACCATAGTTGCTCAAAGAGTACAGTATCTGTTTGTTCTTAGTTTCTTTTCTGATGCATGGTAGGACAGTATCAATGAACAGGGCTTGTCCAACACGTATTCCTAAATTTCGGTGGTTCTGTAGAGGCCGGGTGGGTGGCTCAGAGTTGTCCAGT